CTCCACCTATATATATATATATATATATATATATATATATATATATATATATATATATATATATATATACTAGTTTGTTTTTAGAGCCCAAATATGTTTTTCTTATAAAGCTCACACCCAAGCCCACCTTCAACCTAAGTTCTTGTATTGTGCGACCAGAAGCCCACACTCTCGGTAATAGTTTCTTTCTTGCAAGGAAAAAGGCGAATCGCCTCCAACTCCTGTCCAGCCATCGGCGCTCCCCCAACCCCAACCCCAACCCCAACCCCAACCCGCAGCAGGTAACTCCATTTGTTTTGTTTATAATCAATCTTTTTATGCAGATTCTAAAACCCTAGCTAAATACTTTAGTTGTTTGCAGACATGCTTCTTCATAATCCCTTTAGTTTGTTTGAATATGCTCGTTTTCACCTCCTTTTTTCGTTTCTTGATTCATTGAGTTACTTGATTTCTTCTTTCTTTTTGTTTCTTGATTGAAATTGGTATGCAACTGTTTCATGACTTGATATTCTTTACTACTTTAATGTGAATGTTGATATTGGTATACTGTAGTTTCTTTCATTTGTAGAATACCAATATCTTTTACATTGAAACAAATCAACAATTAGACTAACATAAAGAACTATAGAAATTGGGATGTTGTTGATTCTTTTGAAAGATGGGAATGAGAGTCCTTCATTTTTATGATCTTAGGTTGTACCCAATGCTTCTAAAGTAGTAATCTTTTGACTTTTGAGAGCTTCAAGTAGGAATTGAAGTTGAAACAATTTTAGACCTAATTTTTATTTGTTTATCCACTTGACTTTCTTTGGTTTTAGAGGAGATTGAAACAAGAAAGAGTTGTAATCCTGCATATAACCACTGTTCTTGATGTATTGACTAATGACTATTGAGTTGACCAGCTTCTGTACAAGACCTTTTATGCAAAAAAGTTCTAAATGTTCGATAAAGACAACAAATATGCAGTTATATAGTGTGCCCAGATGATCTTTATGATGATTGCTATATATAAGTAGATAGATTGGACTAGAGTCAACTTTTGATGTTGAAAAGTATCTTTTGAATTCAAAGTTTGCATTGGTAACTTTAGATTTTTAGCTCGATATTTCTTTCGCTTTAAACAGGCATTTTATAATGATTAGTCTTTTGTCTACTGCATATTTGAAGTAGTTAGATTTTGTATAACACCTACAATATGGTTTTTTATTCATGATTGGTACGGTTTTTGTTTTTTTGTTACATTTTGTTAGTCTTTTTGTATATGTTTATGGATAAAGAAACTCAAAAAATCATTAAACTTTTTAAATAAAATGTGTGAAATCACGTGGCATTGAAAGAGAAGAGCTTTTTGTGTTTCAATTTACGAATGTGAAAATCATCAAACCCTCATGGCCCCTCTCTCTCACCAATCAAAATAAGACACATCATTGTTTTAGAGTGTATCATTCGGAGGGCATCACTTTCCACGATTGCCGTTTGTTTCTAAATCTCACATATGCTCTATTCGAAAGAAACACATGGAGGTGGCCAATGCTTAGTCCAAAGAGCTGAAATTAGGTATATATGAACCAGTTTACTTGAATTCAGCCTATAGTAGGTGATTTACTGAGTTTGATTGAGTTTACAAGTTAGGGTTTAGAAAAAGAGCCATGACAATGAGGAAGGTTGCTTTTGTTCTTTGCCGAAATGGTAAGTTTCCCATTTTTATTGTTTGAATATCATTAATTCTTTTTCCTTATCAAAAACTAATGCTTAACAACAGCTGTAAGAGAGATTCATTGCTTCTGTTCAACCATTTTTCATTCAACACTACAATAGACGGTCTCTCTTATTCATTCATCATCTACCAAACTTCCCTTGTTTAATATACATTTATTTAATTTATCTTTCTATTCTCTCTTTTCAATAGGGTAATAATGTATCTGGTGGACCGGGATTGGATTTTGGGTGAGCTGATTTTCATTCTCGATCTACCATATTCTTGAAACGCCAATCAGTCCATAATTTCTCTGCTGTAAAAATGGCGATTTCTCTGCAGTAAAAATGGCGATTTGCCATCATCAACCTCAATTCGGCATCTCTTCTTCTTCTTCTTCTTCTCCGTTTACTACTAACCTTTCAAACAAGTCCCACCTTCATCTCCCATCCTCTTTCCGCTGCAATATATCCATCACTAGAAATCTTGAACCTGAACCTGTTTAAACTTGCGTCAAGTCTTTTGCCCCTGGCACTGTAGCCAACCTCGGCCCTGGATTTGACTTTCTCGGTTGCGCAGTCGACTGAATTGGAGATTGTGTTACCCTCAAATTTGCCAAACACTAGAAAACACTTATCAGCTTATTGTGTTTTGGTACCGCCATAAGCTAATCCAAACACTTTTTATAGAACTCCAGTTTGACACCACATAAGTTAATAAGCACTTTTACAAAAACGCACAAGTTGTCTTAAATAAGCAATCCCAAACATCTCTAAATGAAGGACTTTCCTTCTTGTTTAGATGAAATTGGTGTTCAACTGATCCTATAACTGCTACTAATAGAATTGCAAAAATTCTTTATGACTTGTGTTTATAGTGTAGAATGCTCAATTTTGCTTGCTTCATTATCGTTGTCACTTGGACTAAAAACTTGATTTTTTCAAAGTCTTTTTGAATCTTCCATAAAAGTTCTTTAATCTTTAGGCTGCCTTTTAGTATTTTAGTTCAACGTTTGTTATTAGTGAATTAGTTTTTTTATTCTTTAGGCTGCAATTTAGGCTTTAGCAAGTACTTGGGATGGAGTCTTGTTAGAATTGGAATTTGGAGTGTTTGAATGACCTACTCATTTAGGGAAATATCTGAAAACTTAAGTTTGGAGGAAATTGTATGACTTCAAAGTTGCAAAAGTTCAACGAGTTTTGGTGAATGATGGTTGAAGATTTCACATTTTTTGTCCTGTTTTAGAGTTTTAATATGTCGTAACTTTCTCTTGTTTATGTGATACATTTTTATAAAAGACTAGGTTCAGCAAGGTTGATTTCCGCCCCTGGCAGCAATGGCGTCCATTCAGGCATCATCAAGGAAGCGAAAAAACAAAGGTTTAGGAGAAAAGAACAAGAGGAAGAAGAAGGATCAGGATCTCTCTGATGTTAGAAAACTCGGTCAACAGCTTCTTTCATCCAGAGCTCATATTAATAACCTCCCTCTCCTACTCAACTTTCTCAGTCCAACCACATCTTATCCCCCTGAGTTCCTCCTTGAATCTCTTCTTTCTCTTCAATCCTTCTTCACCCCACTCCTTCCCCAACTCCCTTCTTCTTCTGCTAAACCTACAGAAGATCCAGAATCTATATACCAGATATGGGTTCGTTCTAAATTTGATGAATTCGTTCAATGCCTAATCCAGCTTTCAGTTTCTTCAACGACTTCTGAAGAAGCTCTCAGAGTAAGTATGTTTTCGAGGTTTTATTTTCTTTAAGCATCCTTGGAGGTTGACGCCTCGTTAATGGAGGTTCTATTGTAAGATAAATTTCCATGTTTTGATGACCATATCTTGATTCTGTTATTTGCTATTATAGATTTATCTTACTGAATATATTTTCAAATTACAATCTGCACTTGTCTGGAGTGTGACTGTTGTTGAATTATGTGGTCGTATGGAAATTCAGGAAGTGGTGCTGGATACTTTGATGGAGTGTGTCAAGATTGGAAATGCGGGGAAATTTCATTCTTCTATATACCAAAAGTTCATCTATAGCATGGTGAGTTTACTACACCCTTTGATCTGTTCATAAATTTTTTCTATATACACCCAGCTCTTTTCAGTCACAGTGGTAATTAAATAGTCACTCATATCCAGACTCTAGTTTCTTGGTCCTAAGAAAGGGACACTTGTAAATTGAAAGACTTCAGCATAGTCCTTGTTCTGCCCTAAAATTTTGCGATGCCGATTAATCACTGTCTCGGATTTGTTTAGTTCAAAATAATATAGAAATTTACTGATACAATTAAACAGAGAATTCATATTTGAAATATACACTCAATATGTTTGATGAAAGGTTGCCCTTGATTCCTTGTAGTCGTGGCCTTCATATAGGCTTTACAAAAATGCTTAAAAGGTGCTACCCACGAATACGATCTGTATTCATCAGAAGCTACTCACTAACGAACACCTACATGCTCCATAACTGCTTAAAACCTAGAATTTCACAATAAAGTAATAATTATTCAGTCAATCTCTTCCTTGAACTAATTCAGCTTTTAGTTTAATGTTCTTCAATCACCCAATTGAAAGACTAAAAGAGAGGATGTATAATTTAAATAAACACTTGATATATTTGATAAAAAGTTGCGGTTTGATATCATGAAGTCATATTTCTTATACAAAATGCTTAAGGTGCTACCCAATTTCTTCACATTCATCAAAAACTTCCCACTTAGTTATAAACTACTAAATAGAAGTACTTTCTAGAGACCAAATAAGCAATAAAACCATCCATGCTCCATAATCTCTTAAAAACTATAATTTCACATAGCAAAAGTACATTTTTTTTTGTCACCATGCCAATTAATAGTAAAATAGTAATGTACCTTCTATTTTTCTTGCTAATATGGTGGAGGGTTTTCTTCTGTAGGATCCTTTTAGTTAATGATTTACATCTGCCCATGTTCTTTTTTGTTTGTGTGTTGGGAATTTCATTGATTTTTTAATTATATTTGATGCTTTTCAGGTTTACTCTATTGCAGAGGCTGATACTTTGTTAAATTTGCTTGTATCAAAGTATTTCAAGTACATTGATGTCCGGTAAAAAGATTAGATCATTTTTTAAAGAAATTTAATCTGGTTATTTCCTATTCTTTGTTACTAATATTTTTATAATGTTCCCCCTTATTCCCTATGTGGCAGCTATTTTACTTGCATAAGCCTGGAAAAGCTAATTCGAACTCTTGATGTCAAAGACTGCTCTGGTACTTTCTGCCCACATGTTTTGATGGTTTTAGCATAAAATAATATTCAGTTGATGTGTTTTTCACGTCTTGCTTTTGTTATCACTGCATTCACAATTGTTGGAGTCTAATGATTTTTTCACCAGATGTCAGGCCTAAGACGGAAGATACAGAAAATGAAAGTCCGGCAAGAGCCAGGTTAGTATACATTGAGTAGTGTGCTTGTTAGTCCAACTAGCATGAATTAATTTTATGGGCTAATGGTGGAGCAGGGAATCTGGCTTGTGTATGGATGGATTAATTTAATGGGCCAATGGCGGATCAGAGAATCTGGCTTTTCTATTGATTGTGCCTTTATTTGTGATTGTGATACATACATATATATACATACATACAATATATACATACATACAATATATACATACATACATACAATATATACATACATACATACATACAATATATACATACATACATATATATATATACATACATACATATATATATATACATACATACATATATATATATATATATATACCTACCTGGTGGAGGTTCAAACGAGAACACCTCCATTTTACGAGAACGCAAGAACACCCTTATCACATGTGATAATACACGTGAAGGGATTTTGTGATGTGCGGACGACGTGTTCTATGACTTAGGCCGCACCAAAGGTTATCTGCGTCTATGATTTAGCATCACATGTGATGGTCTTGATGGATTATAGTATCATATCAACAACACCCTTATCACATGTGATAATACATGTGAGGGGGATTAGTGCTGTAAGGGCGACTTGGGCCGCAACCAAGATTGCATTGAAAATTGCCCACGTCTCTGATTTAGTATCATATGTGATTGAATAATAGTATCACATGTGATTGTTTATAGTAAAATGGTGTTATCGTGTTCTCGTAAAATGAAGGTGTTCTCGTTTGAACTCTTCCCCTACATACATATATATTTGTAGTTTCAACAGAACCTCTTGTCATTGTAATCATCGAATTGATAGACACACATTTAGGAATTTACCATTACAAAGTTGGATCCTCTTACAAGATGCAAAAGAACTTTTAAATTCAGAACACAAAGTAGACAGCCTCGTGATAATCTCAATCATGCAAAACAACTTTTCCATATCAAGACTGGGTGGTCTTACAAGATGCAAAACATCTTGATCAAATGAAGTCAGTAGGCGATTGCATCATTAGATAATGTTAGCTAGGGCAATCTGAGTATGATGAAATGGTTCTGTTTCTGCAAAATAAATATTATTGCTTTGTGGTGTTAAATAAGATATTATTTATATAGGATTTACGAAAGTCTTGTGACTTGAAGACTCTTTGTGAATCAAATATTACTTTGTATGCTCACGAATAATGTACTTGGCAAAGATGATGAGAAATCAAGACATACATTGTTATGCCATGTTGCAAACAATCACTTACATTCTACCTCAAAGTTGAGAATTTGAAGGTCAATAAGATTAACAGTTTGGTTCATGAGCATACTGTTTTCAACTTGTAATTATGTCTTCAAGTAGATATGCGAAAGTGATTTTCTAGTTGGTTAATTTGCTCTAGCAAAGCTGTTTTATGACATGAACCTAACAATCTGTTTGTTTAAATGCAGTGGGCAGCTTTTAATCCGCAATATACATCATGTAATATCTAAGATCCCGACTCTGGAACAACTTGATGAAAAATCTGAATATGAAGTATGGAACGAGTCTGGTGAGCATTCTTGTTTTACTTACAGATCTTATTCAGTTTATTCAATGGTCCAGCTTCGTATAGTTGAAAGCACCGTTAAAGATTCTGTCACCTGCATTTTGGAACAAGTAGTTGAAAACTCTGATATGCAATGTTGAGTTGGTTGGCATACTCTACATCATATTTTTCAAACGTCACTCCAAATGTTATTCAAAAAAATAGTATTTTGGTAAAGTTTGTTCCTACATGATTTCCTTCCATCCTGCTATATATTTCATTCTTATTACATAATATTCCTACTTGTGATGTTTGTTTACTTTGCGCTGTATGTTAGGTGTTTTCACCAAAGAGGGTGCAAAAGAGTCCAAGAAAATTAAGAGAACAGAAGGAAAAGATGGCAAAGTCAAGTCCAGCAAGGGCGTAAGTTCTTGACTTTTGTGATCTTTAATTTTAATCCATGCTTGACTATAATTAAAATTCTTGGATTGTCAACCTAAATCGATCATATGACTTGCCTTGTTTTCAAACTTATCTTTTTTTTCCCATATTGTTCTATGGATGTGTTACGTGTCAGATTTTTATGCAATCTACAATGCATCATGCTTGTTTTTGTACATTAACTCCAGGTTTCATCTTCGGTCAAGATTTCCAAAAAGATGAAGCTGAAGTTCTCTAAAGCATGGATGGCATTTCTTGGATTACCCCTTCCTATTGATGTGTACAAGGAGGTAAGTTTATAGAGAGAAAAGCTACAAGCACAAGCGTATCACCTTTCTCTGGTAAACGTCTAACACATCACCTATATTTCCTTTTCATGCTAGGTTCTTGTCACCCTCCATCAGGCAGTAATCCCTTATTTGTCTAATCCCATTATGTTGTGGTAAGTCATGTATGAAGATCTACTTTTCCATTCATTTATTACATATTTTTTCTTTCTACAAGGGTTGTTGAGCGAGTTTGCAATGGTTAATGTGCAGTGATTTTTTGACGAGATCATATGACATTGGAGGGGTTATTAGTGTCATGGCTCTTAGCAGCTTGTTCGTTCTTATGACAGAACATGGTTTAGAGTATCCCAACCTCTATGGGAAGCTTTATGCGCTTCTTGTACCCTCTATTTTCATTGCAAAACACAGAGCCAAGTTCCTCCAGGTGAGTTGTAGTTAGTTTTCCTCTGTCAATTACATTGTCTCTAATTGCGAATTTCTATTTGTAGTATTTCACTATTGGGTACTGTTTGTTACTATCCTTTTTATTGGGCAGCTTGCAACAGCTACATTGCGCTGATGTCGATATTGTTTTTGGCAGCTTCTTGATTCATGCCTGAAATCACCGCTTCTTCCAGCTTATCTGGCTGCTTCTTTTGCTAAGAAATTAAGCAGGCTAGCCCTTACGGTTCCTCCTTCAGGAGGCCTTGTGATTATTGCTTTAATCCATAATCTTCTACGAAGACATCCTTCAATCAACTGTTTAGTGCATCAGGTAATAAAATGAGATCTGATCATTTTTTGAATTTTTTTTGAAATTTCATGTACACAATTCAATATCTGTGATAATGCTTGGATGATGAAATGTATTAGGATAGCTTCTATGTGAATGTGAAATGCTATCTTCGTTGACCCTTTGTGGGATTCATACTGTTACAACTAGGCTTTGTCATTCCTTCAGTGGTTTGTTAACAGTCTGCTATTTGCAGGAGGACAATGGTGAAGTGGCCAAGGATGTTTCGAGCATTAAACCAGGCATTGATCTTTTTAACAACGAGGAAACGGATATTCTCAAAACCAGTGCCATGAGTAAGTTTGTGGCCCATGTCGCTGTTGCATTCTCATCACTTGACTAATTTACAGTCGCACATAGATTTAGTAACTCGCCTGCATTAATTTTATGAAAAGAATTCTTGTGAAGGCAGAATAAGAGTTGTATTTACCAGATTCAATCTGTAATTATGACCACCACAGAGCATTTTTTAGCTTCAAAGGTAATATACAAGCTTTCTTCTTATATAAATGACCTTTTCGCAGGGAGTTCTCTGTGGGAGATTGATACATTGCGCCACCACTACTGCCCCCCGGTGTCAAGGTATGCATGAACCAACCTTGGGATGTTTTTGTCGAAATGTTTAATTCGATGCTCACATGCAGAATTATTGTGTAGATTTGTTTTGTCATTGGAGAATGATTTGACAGTTAGATCCAAGACAACTGAAGTTGCTATTAAGGATTTCAGTTCAGGCTCCTATGCAACAATATTTAGAGAAGAGGTAATATTTATATATTGGATTTCAAACCCCCCATAATAAGTTTTTTTTATTCTATTTGTGAAGATAATAACTAGCGTGTTGATAAGTTTTTTTATTCTATTTGTGATGATAATAACTAGCTTGTGAATGGCAGATACGACGGAGGGTTAAACAGGTTCCATTGGCTTTCTACAAGGCAATACCAACTTCATTGTTCTCAGAGAGTGATTTTGCTGGTTGGAGTTTTCAATCAGACTGATAACACAGAAGCAGTCAAGAGCCATGATTTTTCCTTCTTTATTTTAACATTTTTACCTTTGCTAGGGTTTGCCAACAAACTATTTCTTGTATTTACTTTGTACTACATTTCAGTTATTTAGATGATTCTGTAAGAACACGACTACAAATTTATATGAAGCAATATATATATATATATATATATACCCACATATATGTATATATATTTGTGACTTTGTGTTGTGGGTTGGCATTTTAGAATTTTTTAATAAAATGGTGCAGGTGGAGATCCAAGCAAGAAGGCAAAAACATTCTTCCCACCCTACAAACATATTTAAAAAAATCAAATGCAAACAAAGGTAAAGAACAAGTGAGAGGTTTCTTCATTTCAACTCCACTTTTCTTCAAGATTTCTTCAACCCCCATCTCATGGTTGCATGCATTAATCATCCAAAAATTTTGATAATATATTATATATATACCCTGATGAGGAATTTAACAATCTTTCTGATTCTTGGAGGCTTCTTCTCAGCTGTATATTCAAAAACTAGTGATGATATCATAAATATAGGTTCCATTTTTACATTGAAAACCATCCATGGAAGAGTCTGCACCATTGCCATGAAGGCTGCTGTAGATGATGTCAATTCTCATCCCACAATTCTACCAGGAAGACACTTGAATCTTTCCATTTATGATGCAAATTTTAGCGGTTTTCTCTGCATTATGGGTGGTAAATATATATAACCATATCCATCTTATCTTATTACGATATTCTTTCAATCATCTTTTACCTGTTTGATCATATTTGAAATTTTTTATATATATTCAGCATTGAAGTACATGGAGATCGATACTGTAGCTATTATAGGGCCACCAAGTTCCGAGAGGGCTCACGTGCTTTCAAATCTTGTAAACGAACTCCATGTCCCATTGTTATCATTCACTGCTTTAGACCCCACGCTTTCGCCACTCCAGTACCCCTACTTTCTCCAAACAGCCCCCAATGATCTTTATCAGACAACTGCTGTTGCTGCTATACTATCCTATTTTCATTACTCACAAGTAACCGCAATCTTCACTGATGATGACCAGTTTCGTAACAGTATAAACGTGTTATCTAAACAACTTGCAAACAAGCGTTGCAGGCTCTCCGGTAAAGCACCACTTCCACCTGATCAGGCCCAAGTAAATACAGATGTTATCACAGATGTATTGCATAAGGTGATGTCAATGGAATCTCGTGTCATTCTTGTACACACTTACTCCGTCACTGGTCTTAAGATCTTTGAGATTGCAAACAGCCTTCAAATGATGAAAAATGGGTATGTATGGATTGCAACCACTTGGCTATCAACTGTTCTAGATTCTACTGGCATTCCTCCAAAGACTGCCGCCTCTGTGCATGGTGTTCTTACTCTTCGTCCTCATATACCAGATTCATACAGAAAAAGAGCTTTCGAAAGACGGTGGAAGAAGAATCTAAGTAAAGGCTCTATTGGACTGAATTCCTATGGTTTATATGCTTATGATACCGTCTGGATAATTGCATATGCAATTGACAGGTTTTTAAAAGAAGGTGGCGAAATTTCCTTCTCTAAAGATTTGAGCTTCAATGATTTGATGGTAACCACCAGCCTGAATCTTAAAGATCGAAGCATTTTTAATGGGGGAAAGCAGTTGCTTAGCAACATACTAGAGACAAATAAGACCGGTTTGACAGGTCCCCTTTTGTTCAATCCAGACAGATCCTTGAGAAACCCTTCTTTCGATGTGATCAACATATTAGGAACACAAGGCCAACTAGTTGGATACTGGTCTAACCATTCTGGACTATCGGTTGAGACCCCAGAGAGTTGTTTTGAAGTAAAACCATGTAACCAACAGTTGGGAAGTATAGTATGGCCTGGGAACATGAAAGATAAACCGCGTGGATGGGAATTTTCGAACAATGGGAGACCCTTGAGGATTGGAGTTCCATTAAGAGTTAGTTTTAAAGAAATGGTTATGCAAATCAATGGTTCAAAAAAGGTTGGTGGTTTTAGCATAGATGTCTTTCTTGCTGCCATAAAGTTGCTTCAGTATCCGGTTCCTTATGAGTTCATCATGTTTGGGGATGGTCAGAAGAACCCGAGCTACTCTCAGCTTGTAAACCAGATTGCATCTAATGTGAGTAAAGATTATATATAATATATTGCTACATATATTGACTACAAATTGTTGAACTTTAACACTTTATGCATGTTTTGGGCAGGTGTTTGATGCTGTTGTTGGTGATATTTCAATTGTAAGTAACCGTACAAAGACTGTTGATTTCACACATCCTTATATGGAGTCAGGGCTGGTTGTAGTTGTCCATATTCGTAAACCAGACTCCAGTTCGTGGGCGTACTTGCAACCATTTAGTCCGCCGTTGTGGGTTGTCACTGCTTTTCTCTTCCTGTGTGTTGGGGTAGTCGTATGGTTATTGGAACACCGACACAATGACGAATTTAGAGGACCACCCAAGAGACAATTTGTCACTGTATTATGGTGAGTATTTACTCATCGCCTCCTTTATTTCATTTCTAGTTTAAGTCATAACTGGTTTTTTTGAGAAAAGTTGACATCTTGTTTTGCAGGTTTACCTTCTCGACTATGTTTTTTGCTCACAGTAAGTGAATCTTTTTTCTTTCTTTTGTCCTTTTCCCAAGTGAGTCAGTCTGGGTGACTCAGTGATCTGAGTTGAATGTGTCAGGAGAAAACACCGTGAGCACCCTAGGTCGTGTGGTTCTCTTCATCTGGCTTTTTGTGGTTCTAATTATCAACTCGAGCTACACAGCGAGCCTGACTTCAATTCTAATGGTGCAACAACTACAATCTCCCATCAATGGAATAGAATCTTTGATTGCTAGCAATGAGATTATTGGATTTCAGGTGGGATCATTTGCTGAGAATTATTTGATGAAAGAAATGAACATCCCAAGATCAAGACTTGTTGGTCTTGGGTCCCCAGAAGAATTTGCTGAGAAACTGGTAGCAGGAACAGTTGCTGCCATTGTTGATGAAAGACCATATGTGGATCTTTTTCTTTCAAACCACTGCAACTTCCAGATTGTTGGCCAAAAGTTCACAAAAAATGGGCTGGGATTTGTAAGTATATATATATATATACACTACTTTTTTTTGGTATATATACATGTTTATAGATAATAAGTATATACATTAAGTGTGTGTGGTTAATTGGATAAAATTCAGGCATTTCCGAGGGATTCTCCATTGGCGGTTGATATGTCGAATGCCATACTAATATTAGCTGAAAATGGGGAGCTTGGAAGGATTCACGACGATTGGCTGAAGAAAGAAGGTGGTTGTGGTGCGAAGAGGTTGTCGTTGGTATCGG